AGTTGTGGAGTGGTGGGGGAGGTTTTTGAACAGGTGTGTGAGTATGTGTTGTGCAATCTGGGGAGGAGTGATAGGGAAGCATTGGGCAGGATCATTATTTATTTATTAGCACACTGGCCGATTCCCACCAAGGCAGGGTGGCCCGAAAAAGAAAAACTTTCATCATCATTCACTTCATCACTGTCTTGCCAGAAGGGTGCTTTACACTACAGTTTTTAAACTGCAATATTAACACCCCTCCTTCAGAGTGCGGGCACTGTACTTCCTATCTCCAGGGCTCAAGTCCAGCCTGCCGGTTTCCCTGAATCCCTTCATAAATGTTACTTTGCTCACACTCCAACAGCACATCAAGTATTAAAAACCATTTGTCTCCATTCACTCCTATCAAACACGCTCATGCATGCCCGCTGGAAGTCCAAGCCCCTCGCACACAAAACCTCCTTTACCCCCTCCCTCCAACCTTTCCTAGGTTGACCCCTACCCCGCCTTCCTTCCAGTACAGACTGATACACTCTTCAAGCCATTCTGTTTCGCTCCATTCTCTCTATATGTCTGAACCACCTCAACAACCCTTCCTCAGCCCTCTGGACAACAGTTTTGGCACTCCCACACCTCCTCCTCCTAACTTCCAAACTACGAATTCTCTGCATTATATTCACACCACACATTGCCCTCAGACATGACATCTCCACTGCCTCCAGCCTTCTCCTCGCTGCAACATTCATCACCCATGCTTCACACCCATACAAGAGCGTTGGTAAAACTATCCTCTCATACATTCCCCTCTTTGCTTCCAAGGACAAAGTTCTTTGTCTCCACAGACTCCTAAGTGCACCACTCACCCTTTTCCCCTCATCAATTCTATGATTCACCTCATCTTTCATAGACCCATCTGCTGACACGTCCACTCCCAAATATCTGAATACATTCACCTCCTCCATATTTTCTCCCTCCAATCTGATATCCAATCTTTCATCACCTAATCTTTTTGTTATCCTCATAACCTTACTCTTTCCTGTATTCACTTTCAATTTTCTTCTTTTACATACCCTACCAAATTCATCCACCAACCTCTGCAACTTCTCTTCAGAATCACCCAAGAGCACAGTGTCATCAGCAAAGAGCAACTGTGACAACTCCCACTTTATGTGTGATTCTTTATCTTTTAACTTCACACCTCTTGCCAAGACCCTCGCATTTATTTCTCTTACAACTCCATCTATAAATATATTGAACAGCCACAGTGACATTACACATCCTTGTCTAAGGCCTACTTTTACTGGGAAATAATCTCCCTCTTTCCTACACACTCTAACTTGAGCCTCACTATCCTCTTAAAAACTCTTCACTGTTTTCAGTAACCTTTCTCCTATATCATGCATCTGCAACATCTGCCACATTGTCCCCCTATCCACCCTGTCATATGCCTTTCCCAAATCCATAAATGCCACAAAAACCTCTTTAGCCTTATCTAAATACTGTTCACTTATATGTTTCACTGTAAACACCTGGTCCACACTCCCCCCTACCTTTCCTAAAGCCTCCTTGTTCATCTGCTATCCTATTCTCCGTCTTACTCTTAATTCTTTACAGGATCATTACGGGGGAGGAAATATGGTCAACATTAAGTGAGATGCATAGGGGAAAAGCGCCAGACATCGATGGTCTTCCGTGCAAGTTTTATCTACAGCATAGGGAGCTGGTGAGTGGCTTTTTGGTCCGGTTAATGAATTGGATGAAGGAGAGGGGCGAGTTGGGGGAGAAGCAGTAGTGGTGTTGGTCCCAAAGGGAAAGCAGCAGAACACCCTTCGGGACTACCACACCATCTCGTTGCTGTACACAGGTTATAAGTTGTATGCGAAGATATTGGGAAATAGGTTTAAGTGTGTCGTGGGAAGGGTGGTATCTGAGAATCAGTCTGGGCTGCCAGGGAGGTCTATGGTTGTGGGGCATGGGATAATTAAGGGATTCGTGGAATCAAGGGGGAGGGGCAGGGGGCAATGTTGTGGGTCTTTGATTGGCAGGGGGCATATGATAGGGTGGAAAGAGGAGCATTGAGCACTATACTCAGTCGACAGGGTTTTGGTGAAGAAATTGTGGGGTGGGTTGAAGCGTTGTACTGGGGTGCAAGGGCGAGGGTGCAGATCAGTGGATGCTTGGGGGAGGCAGTTATCATGGGGTGGGGTCTTAGGCAAGGGTGTCCAATGCCACAACTATTATTTGCATGTGTCCAGGACCCCTTTTACCGAATGGTGGAGGAATGTGTGTGCACAGGGGGTGGGGGAGGGGTAGGAAGGGTTTGGCCTGGTTTGGTCGGATATGTTGACGACACAACTGTCCTGGTGCGGGAGGGTATGGGGCTGGGGGTTTTAAAGGATGCTGTGAAATTGTTCGGGGGTGCTACTGGTATGAAAGTGAACCTGGAGAAGTCAGCCATCCACAACTCTTTTACCAAACCAGTGCTTTCCTGTACCCTTCCTGAATATGAATTTTTCCAATTTAAGACCATTGCTGTGAGTCCTATCTATGTTAGACATTTTTAGCAATCCATTTACATCCCCTTTATTAATTCCTGTTTTCCATTTATACACCTCAAACATATCCCCCCTAATTCTATGCCTTTTTAGAGAGTGCAGATTCAAGGCCCTCAGTCTATCCTCATAGGAAAGATTTCTGATACATGAGATCAACTTTGTCATCCACTTTTGTACATTTTCCAGAGCATTTATATCCCCTCTGTAATACGGTGACCAGAACTGTGCAGCATAATCTAAATGTGACCTAACCAAAGATATATAGAGTTGCAGAACCTGAGGACTTCTATTATTTATACTTCGTGCTATGAAGCCAAGGATTCTGTTAGCATTATTGCGAACACTTATGCACTGTTGCCTTGGTTTCAGATTACTGCTAGCCAGAACTCCTAAGTCTGTTTTACAATCTGTAATATTAAGATCTACATTATTTAGTTTATATGTGGCATGGTTATTTTCCTGTCCAATATTCAGAACTTTGCATTTGTCTATTTTAAACTGCATCTGCCATTTCTCCGACCATAGCATCAGTTTATTCAAATCATCCTGGAGTGCTCTAATGTCCTCAATAGAATGAATTGGACGGCCTATTTTGGAGTCATCAGGAAATTTGCTTATGTCGCTATTTATTCCCTGTTTATGTCGTTTATGTAGATTGTGAACAACAAGGGACCCAACACTGACCCCTGTGGAACACTGCTTGTGACGTCCCTCCATTCTGATTTCTTCCAATTTATGCAAACTCTCTGCTGCCTAATTGTCAACCATGCCTCTACCCAGGAAAAAATTTCTTCTCCTATTCCGTGAGCCTTAAGTTTTCTCAACAGCCTCTGATATGGAACTCTATAGAAAACCTTACTGAAGTCCATATACACAATATCATATTCAATACCTCCTCAAATACCTTAGTGAAGAAAGTGAATTCGTAAGGCAGGAATGCCCCTTTGTAAAACCGTGATGAGATACATTAATCAATTTATGCCTTTCAAGATGACTATGGATTGCTTCGGCAATTATTGATTCCATAAATTTACCAACTATGAAAGTAAGGCTTATTGGTCTATAGTTCGAAACTAAGGACCTGTCACCTGCCTTGTGAATAGGTATTACATTTGCCATTTTCCACTTGTCTGGCACTATGCCAGTTTGTATTGATATATTGAAAAGAGTAGCCAAAGATATGTTAATTTCTTCTTTACATTCCTTTAAAACTCTTGCAAACAGTTCATAAAGGCTTGGAGATTTGTTAGGTTTTAGTTTCTCTATTTGTCTGAGGACCATGTCACTAGTTACCCTAATCGTGCATAGTTTCTTATCGTCCTGTTCTATATAATTTATTATTTCTGGACTTTCGCTAGTATCTTCCTGAGTAAAACCTGAGAGGAAGTAGAAACTGAAAAGTTTACACATTTCCTTATCACTGTCAGTGATCTGACCTGAGTTACTCAGGTCAGATTACTGACAGTGATCTTACTTCTGTATACCTGAAAGAATCCTTTTGGGTTAGTCTTCGAATTCCTTGCAACTTTAACCTCATAATCCCTTTTTGCTTTTCTTATTCCTTGTTTCACTTCTCTCTTTAATTGAATATATTGATTTCTTAACTGCCCTCACCATCTTTTGATACGCCTATATATGCCTCTCTTTTGACCAATGAGATGTTATAATCTATTGCTTATCCATATGGGATCATTGTTGTTAAATCTAATTTACCTACTCCGGACAAAATTCGTCTGGGCAGCCAGCACTATGCTCTGAAATATGTCGTATTGGCAACCAACTCTACCTACCTGACACATAGTAAGGTCGTCCCAGTTTAGCCCACCCAGGTAATTTCTCATACTTATGAAGTCGGCCAAGCGGAAATCTGGGACAATGACTTGATTGCAGTTATCTGGGTAATTCCATGATATATTGAAACTAAGTGGTTTGTGATCTTGTACAGCTTGTCAGACACTGCAACATCATGGAATCTTAATTCTGAGGACATGTTGTACAAGAATGGTATTGTATACCATTCTTGTACAACTTGTCAGACACTGCAACATCATGGAATCTTGATTCTGAGGACTTGTACATAACCTTCACGACTACGGCAACTACTACTACAACTAACCCATCTCTTTGGGTAGGACCTACTTCCACTGGGGAATCCCTCCTACCAGTGACTATGCCCTCGTCTGCTAGACGTCCCATTTCCACCTGACGTTAGTATATAAGCGTCAGGAGCCTTGCTTCTGCTTCAGAATCTCCACGACTACGGTGCTCTTCGCACCTACTCCAAGGTTGAGGGACTGATTACCTCATCTTCTGTACATAATTCTACTGTCTTCAAGTTATGTCCTGGAATTTGTACTGATAAAGCCACTGGATGGCGAAACGTCTACAATAAAGACACCCAGATGTTGCACATGTGTCTTAATTTCATCTCGTTGGTATTGTATACCATTCTTGTACAAAACTCACCATCCTGAGTAAGAGAAGATTGTGGAGTAGAAAGCAGTGATGATGGAGGAGACTTCCCATATGGTTCCTCGCATGGGGTCGAGGAATTGCTCAGTATTACCCCAGGCCAAGTGGTTCACTCCAGCTACGATGATCACAGTTAGTGCCAGCACCTTGCACAGTGCCAGTAAGGTCTGAACTCGGGCTCCGAGCTGTACTCCAGAGCAATGAATGTATGCAATTCCACCTGTTGAAATATTTCTCATGTGGTTCATATATACACATACACATAGAATCAGTACATACACACATATACACAAAAACAGACACACACACTGGAGGACAGGAGGGTCAGGGAAGACATGATAACGACGTATAAAACACTGCGAAGAATTGACAAGGTGGACAAAGACAGGATGTTCCAGGGATGGGATACAGAAACAAGGGGTCACAGATGAAAGTTGAAAACTCAAATGAGTCAAAGGGATGTTAGGAAGTATTTCATCAGTTATAGAGTTGTCAGGCAGTGGAATAGCCTAGAAAGTGGCGTAGTGGAGGCAGGAACCATACATAGTTTTAAGACGAAGTTTGATAAAGCTCATCTAACACACACATACAGGAAACACATACAAGACACACATACAAGACACACATACAAGACACATGCAAGACACATGCAAGACACACATACAATGCACACATGTACAACAAACAGCCACACAACATGCACATGCACACACACACACACCACACACACACACACACACACACACACACACACACACACACACACACACACACACACACACACACACAACATAATGCATAAACAACATTAACACACACATACAATACACACATAAACAACAAACACACACAAACACATACTAAGAAAACTAGCTCATTAACAAGAAAAAATGGGATCTCAGAGGGGAAGTCAAAGATTCAGAGGAACAGAAGAAGATGGACCTGGAAAGGAAGAATGGATGGAGAAGCTAAATGAAAGGATGGAACATGAGTGGGAAAGCAAGCTAGTCGAGCTTATTGTGAGAATGGAGAAGAGACAAAGTCACAGTGTGACTTTGTAAATGGTCCAAGTCGGACCGAAACGTCGTCGTAAGCTTCTCTCTTTTATGTGCGGGTTATTTGTGTATCGTTCCAGTCACGGTATTGTGCTTTTTTTGTTATTTAAGAGATGAGAGCTGCAGATGCAGATGCCAGAATGCTGAATCTTGAAGCTGAAGTAAAAATGCTGAAGAAATATACCTGACCAATGACCAGAAGGGGCTTAAAATCTAGCACAGAACACCAATGTTCAACGAGGAGTTCTATGAAATGGAAGGAGACAAGATCTAGGTTGAGGCCCTATCAGGCCATCATGAAATGTCGAGGAATGAAAGGAGCATGCTACTGGGCACAGGCACAGCAGTGAGTGAGGGGGAGGGTGAAGGTAAAGAAAGTGACAGACCCCTTACAGAGGAGCAAACAGGCCACCTGACGATACAGGAATTAATAAGGGAGGCAAGGTCTTTGTATAAATGTACCCAGAAAAGGAGTGGGAAAAGGAGTGGCAGGTGGAGAGGGAGACATTCAGGCTTTATACATGGGCCTCAGGAGAGCGAAGGGGGGACATAAGATGAAAGATGGCAGAGAGAATAAAAGAGACTGAAAATATCATCAAACAAACAGGAGAGGAAGACATGACTGAGCTGATAAATTTTTAGACAATAGGGGGATACAAGAGGCGAAGAAATCGGTCAGTCAAAGTGATTTTCAAGGCAGAAACAGTGTTGGAATATGAACCTGCAGGAGAAACCATGGCTAAAGGAATGAGCAACATACCAGAAGGTGTTCTTAGATCACGGCAGAACGAGACCCGAACGACATAAGCTGAGAGAGAGGACACAGAGACGAAAGGGTCAGTAAGGGACAATTGGACAGTAAGGGACAATTGGAGTCGAGTGGAGCAGCAAGCACAAATGCCCACAGAACCCCACAGTCAAGCATATTACCCCAAAAAAAAAAACACTGCACACTCACAACTCCCACCCCATCCTACGAAGTAGAACCCCACAGCACCCTATCAGGTCTCCCACTCCTCCAGCCCAAACATTCCTACCAGAAGACAGTGATGGAAAGGAAACTGAAGGTTCGGTACACCAACGCCTTTGGAATAACTAATAAGTGGGAAAAGTAACACAAAAGAATCAGAGACATCACCAGACACCATAGCTCTCACGGAAACCAAGCTCACAGGAATGATAACAAATGTCATCTTTCCAAATGGATATCAAATTCTGAGGAAAGACAGAGAGAGCAGGGTCGTTGAGGAGTTGCACTGCTCATCAAAAATCAATGGAATTTTGCGGAGCTTCTAAGGGGAGGCAGATGAGAAGCAAGGGACTATATAATAGGAACACTTCAGACTGGAGGTCCCAAGGTGGTGATTGCAGTGATTTATAACCCACCACAGGAGGAGGCCAAGACATGAATATGATGAATATAAAAGAGACATAGTTAACACACTGGGTGAAGTGGCAAGAAGGGTCCACGTGGGTAGGGCAAAGCTTCTAGTTGTGGGTGACTGCACTAACAAGGAAATTGACTTGGAAAACTTGGAGCCACACGGGGGCCCTGAGACGTGGATGGCTAAGATGATGAACACAGTGCTGAAAAATATCATGCATCAACACGTTAGGAACACTACCAGAGAGAGAGGAGAGGACTATCCAGCAAGACTGGACCTTGTATTCACCTTTAATAGTTCAGATATTCAGAATATCACATATAAAAGGCCCCCTTGGAGCTAATGATCACGTTGTCTTCAGCTTTGAATATATAGTAGAGCTTCAAGTGGAGAGGGAAGCAGAAAGGGTAGGACAAATGAAACCCAACTACAAAAGAGGTGACTACACAGGCATGCAGAACTTCCTGCTCGAGGTTAAGTGGGAAAGAGAATTGGCAGGAATTTCAGTAAATGATATGATGGAATATGTGACAACAATATGCAAGGAAGTAGACAACAGGTTCTTATCTAAGGGGAACAGAAATAATGAAAAGGCCAGGACGAGCCTTGGTTCACCCAAAGGTGTAGAGAGGCCAAAACTAAGTAAGCTAGAGAATGGAAGAAGTATAGAAGGCAAAGAACCAAGAAAAATGAGGAGAATAGTCAAAGAGTCAGAAATTAATTTTCACAGATAAGGAAGGAGGCCCAGCGACAATATGAAAATGACATAGTAGCAAAAGCAAAGTCTGCCTGTTGTTGTACAGTCACATTAGGATGAAAACAATAGTCAAGGACCAGATAGTCAGGCTCAGGAAGAAAGGAGGGAAGATCACGAGAATCGACCGATAATATGTGAAGAGCTCAAGAAGATATTTATTGACATATTTATAGTGGAGACAGAAAGGGCTCCAGAAAGCTGGAGGGGTGGGTTACACCATCAAGTGCTGGGCACAGTACCTGCAACCAAGGAGAAGGCAAAGAGGCTAATTAGTGAACTAGGAACCTCAGAGACGATGGAGCCGGATGTCTCTCTGTGGGCACAGAGACACTGCATGTACTATAACAACAATCAACACATCTATCAAAATAGGGCGACTACCTGAAATGAGGAAGACAGCAAATGTACTCCAGATTTTTAAGAAAGGACACAAGATGCACAGCACTAAACTACAGACCAGTGTCACTGACGTTTATAGCATGTGAAGTCATGAAGATTATCAGAAGAGTGGTGGAGCACCTAGAAAGGAATGAGCTTATTCACATCAACCAGCATGGTTTCTGGGATGGGAAATCCTGTGCCACAAACCTACTGGAGTTCTATGACAAGTTGACGGTGGTAAGGCAAGAGAGAGAGGGGTGGGCAGATTGCATTTTCTTGGAATGTAAGAAAGCTTTTGACAATTTCACAAAAGAGATTTATGCAAAATCTAGAGGACCAGGCAGGTTTAACAGGGAAGGCACTGCAATGGATCAGAAAATACCTGACAGGAAGGCAATATTGAGTCACATTACGTGACGAGGTGTCAGAGTGGGCGCTTGTGACGAACGGGGTCCCATTGGGGTCAGTCCTAGGACCGGTCCTGTTCCTGGTATATATGAATGACATGACGGAAGGGATAGATTCATAATTGTCCCTGTTTGCAGACAATGTGAAAGTGATGAGGACAATTCAATTGGTTGAGGATCAGGCAGGACTATAAAGGGTTCTAGACATGCTGCAAGCCTAATCCAGCAACTGGCTCCTAGGAATTAACCCCATCAGGTGCAAAGTAATGAAGAGCGGAGAAGGGCAGAGACGACCACAGACAGAGTACAATCTAGGGGGCCAGAGACTGCAAACCTCACTCAAGGAAAAAGATCTTGGGGTGAGTTTAAAACCGAGCACATCTCCTGAGATACACATCAACCAAATAACTGCTACAGCATATAGGCGCCTGGCAAAACTAAGAATTGCGTTTCAACACCTTAATAAGGAATTGTTCAGGATTCAGTACACCGTGTACGTCAGGCCCATATTGGAGTATGCAGCACCAATATGGAACACCTGGTCAAGGGAATTAAAGAGAGTGCAAAGGTTTGCAAAAAGGCTAGTCCCAGAGCTAAGCTGTATGTCCTAAGAAGAGAGGTTAAGGAAAATCGAATTGACGACACTGTAGGACAGGAGGGACAGGGGTGGGGATATGACAACGATGGTAGTGGCATACATAGGGTACGGCAGGAATGATACATACCCTGGGCCCCACTTGAAATGGGACTCCACTAAGCAGATTCTATTAAAGTCAAACAAGCTGTGTTGTCTCTGTTAGAGAGCCCTTCCTTAGTTACATCCAGATAACCTCTCAGTATCCACAAGGATACTGAGAGGTATAATATGCAAGTAATATTATTTTTGCCGTCTTTATTGTGTTTTTATATTATGTCTGCTATCATTACTGAATAAATGGTTTAAGCAGATAAAATTTATTAATAATAATAGCGTCAGTATAAGACATATTGTGGTCTACAGCAACCACTCCACTTGACTCCTCCTACCTCTTCTATAAGCCCCTCCCACACATAAGAACATAAAAGCATAAGAAAGAAGGAACACTGCAACAGGCCTACTGACCCATGCGATGCAGGTCCCTGCCTTCCCCTTCGGATTAGACCAATGACCCACCCAGTATGGTCATCTCCACTCCACGGTATTAGAAAGAAAAATAGACAAAAATTAAAACAAAAATAAAAAAAATTTCACCAAA